CTGATTATTTGTATTATAGCAGAGCTGTATTTATAGATCATTGTTTTATACTGTAAATATCTTTAATTAAACATTAAAGAGACAAAAAATTACATAAGATTTTACTTAAAATTAAGCAAAAATCCTAATTATAGAAAGATGAATGATGACTGTATTTTGTATTTTTTGTGACTTTACATTAGAAGAATATTATATTCAGGTTTACGTACGTGGGGTCTACTTACCGACAAAGGTGAAGCGTTCGATGTGTGGACGGACGCAGCAGATCTTCCCCAGACTCTCGCTGACCTTCCCCCACAGTTTGACTGCAGAGAGGAAGAGGAGGGTGAGGAAGCAGCTCAGACACACAGCACATTCATTAGCTCACTGAACACTGAAGGACTCACTGGCTGTGGGCTTGTGATTCATGTTGTTGTGGTTCTGATAGATGGGTGGAGTCTGGTTCTGCGGCTGACCAATCACAGGGGTCGTGGACGGCGTGTTGACGTTGGACAGAATGCAGCCGGTGACTCTCTGAGGAAGCAGAACGTCTTCATCAACACTTTTTTAATGAACTGCAGAGGTTTGAGGTTGCCATGGTAACTGCTGCACTTTTATATAGTTATCATTATTTATGATACCGCTCCTGACCACAGGGAGCGCCAGAGTCAAGAAAGGGTCATTATAAATATAAATATATAAAAATATCTGATCAGTATTCCCAGGAAATAATCAAACTTCCTGCAGTTATTGTGTTATTCTTCAGTTTATCAGCTGTTCTCTACTGTTACTGATACTGATCAATACAATATATATATATATATTTAAAATATAACAATTATATATAAATATAAAAGTTTCCCTTTAAAATTCAAAACATTCCCGTTTAGACATTCTTTTCCAAATAAGTCGACTGGGAGAAACAAATAATATAAAACATTTTTCTATTTATTTTTTGGATTCAAACCCTGAGCCGCTGCAGCAAGGACTTGGTACATGCGGCCAGCTCTACCAGGTGAGCCCATAATAATATAAATATTAACTACGTCCTCACCTTCATCAGGTCCCGGTGATGCTCCAGCACGCTGCAGGTCGTCTGCCAGGTGTCCTGGTAACACTCCCAGGGGTCCACCCTGCACCAAAGCCCACACAGAAAGACGCTGACACTCACACAGCAGATGTGTCACAGTTACTGAACATCTCAACATCTCATTAAATAAAGTTTCTTACCTTCAGTGTCACACAGAGATATTAAAGCTGTCTCACCTGATCCAATCAGAGGACTGAACAGCCAGCTGACACATGGTGAGACGATGTCTGCTGGGCACTAAACCCTGAACACACAAATACAGGAACAATAATATTAAAGTATTTTACTTTTTGATGTTATTATTTCTCAGTATTAGCTAAAGTATCCTTTATAAGGTAGTTGACAAGGTAACATAAAGAGTCTGGATGAAGCAAGCTAACATTATCCAGCTAACAGCACAATCAGACA